GGGTCTTCCTTTTTTCCCTTTTTAAAAATAGGGGTTATGTTTCCCCTTTTCCAGTCAGTGGGTATGTCACCAGACTGCCACGACTTCTCAAATACGATGGATAGTGGCTTAGCAACTTCATCCGCCAGTTCCTTCAGGACCCATGGATGGATCTCCTCAGGTCCCATGGACTTGTGCACCTTCAGGAGATGAGGATACAGAAGAGATGGAGCCAGACTCTTCCTGGAGGCGTACAGCAACAGGATGAAAGGCAACAGACACTAATTGGAACATGCTAAATTCTTACTAAATATAAAGGATTTTGTTCATTTCTTTATTTTTTTTCCATGAGACTGGCCATATGCTTGAACAGGTCCACAGAGTTTGTGAGACTTGATGACTTCCAGAAGTCCCTTCCAACCTAAATTATTCTACGATTCTATGTTTTAATGATTCTATACTCCAATACCCATCTTTATTGCTGTTGTTGGTGCAGGGATAAATAATGGAATCAAAGAACATCACCACCACTGTGACAGAATTTGTCCTGTTGGGCCTGACACAGCCTCGCAAGCTGCACTACTGTCTCTATGTGAGCTTTTTTCTCATCTATGTGATCACCTAGCTGGTGAACTTCACCATCACTGCAACTGTAGCTGCTGATCACCAGCTCCGCACACCCATGTACTTCATCCTGGCCAACTTGGCTTTCCTTGATGTCAGTGATTCTTCAGTCAATACTCTCCAACTGCTGTCAGGCCTCCTCACCCAACATACAATGATCTCATTCAATGAGTGTTTCCTCCAGATGTTCTTCCATTTCATTGCTGGAACAATGGCTTTTTTCCTTATAGGGATGACGACTGATCAGTACGTGTCCATCTATAAGCCATTGCATTACTTGTCTATCATGAACTGGAACATGTGTACAGGATTGGGAAGATATACCAGGTTCCCTGTGCATCCCATGGTAACCTTCCCTGGCCCATGTGCAATGCAACAGCTCATTTGTGGCTCCTCAAGGGGCAGTGATAATTTGAGAAGCTTCACTGGGAACATGGACATTTCTAGCTCTAGGAGAATGAAGGTTAACAAGAGAAGGGAGTGGGAGACACCTTTTCCCCCCATCACTCGCATCATCTTCAAAAAAAAAAAAAAAGAAAAAAGTTGGGCAGGAGTGTTGATCTGCTCGAGGGTAGGAAGGCTCTGCAGAGGGACCTGGACAGGCTGGATCGATGGGCCAAGGCCAACTGTATGAGATTCAACAAGGCCAAGTGCCGGGTCCTGCACTTTGGCCACAACAACCCCATGCAGCGCTACAGGCTGGGGGAAGAGTGGCTGGAAAGCTGCCTGGCGGAAAGGGACCTGGGGGTGCTGGTTGACAGCTGGCTGAACATGAGCCGTCAGTGTGCCCAGGTGGCCAAGAAA